AGATGAGGGATGGAGGTGGCGTAGGAAATTGAAAAGTGATTTAGGTTAAAACAAAATTTCGGTTTTATTAGATTAAACCGAACCGAACTAACAGTGAAAATCACCCGAACCAACCCAACCCGACTTTACTCGATTCAGTTCGATTTCTCGGTCGGTTCGGTTCTTTACACCCCTAAAATTAATCTTGTCACGTGGAAGACAAAGAAAGATAGGAAGACCAAGTTTACCTTGAAGGCCACCTACCGAAAGGGTGATAACTCTCTAAAAGAGAGTTATTGTAGTAAATATTTGGGTGTTTTTGTAAGCAATTTAAAAACACAATAAACAGAAAGTTACTTTACCCCTTTTTACTTTTCATGAGAAATTGGCYAAACTAAGGAAAAAGAAAAAAGAAATAGCATTAAAATATATTTTTATTGACCAATCAGAATTGCCTCCCCCGAGTAATCATAAATAACTRATTACAAATCTATGATTTCTATTCTCGTGGCCGGACTCCGTAAAAAGAGTAGTGATAAATTAAAAAAAAAATTATTCTTTCGTTTATACTTATTTTGGTTAAAGGATAAACGTTTCTTTGTCTTTTTTTTCATTATATTCAGTCATTGAATAAGTGAAATATCAAAGTGTGTTTAATTTAGCTCTTAAATCTTATAAATAGTATTAGAAATCGAAGCTTGAGCTAAAAGTCTCATGTCTTGAATGCTTTGGCTAAAAATTGTATTAAACTCTCGTATTTTTTGCTTAATTGCACAGGTTTGGACAGAGAAGAAAAAGCATGAAGAAAACGTTGAGCCCAGAAAAAAGTAAATGAAGCATGTTCAAGGCAGAGCAGAATAGAGTCGGAGCGAAGAATAGCTGGAGCATGGATTTACAACACAGTAACTGTCCCATACACGGGATAAGTTACCATGCTCGTACAATCTCCAGCCGGGTGCCCTAAAATTGGGACCCGATTTAAAATGGGCATTTGACCTAGCCGACACACACAAATCCCAATAGAAACATATTTTTTAATGTTAGAAAAGACATGGAAGAAGGATCTTGCCATTTTTGGGGAAGAGCTGACGACAAAGGAGGATATTTGACTACTGCTTCGAGCTGTCATCTCCATTCTCGATTTTCTTCTCTTTTCTCAAAATGGGTTGTAACATTTCTTTACCCGCTGTATTTTCTTCTTCCTTGATGAGCTAAACACCATTTTGGGGGAGATTTACATGTTGTAACTGGTGAACAACTGAAACTCTAGTTGATTTCCTTTATTATTAAATAGAGCTGTGTTTATTTCTTAATCCTTACTGAACATTGTTGGCCACTCTATTTTGTATGCTAGCGTCTGTATGATCTGGGAGGGCTTACGGGTAGCTGACTTACTCTATTTGTGATTAGCTATTTTCTAGTAGGATCGTGGATACTCAGGAATGAGGTCCTCTAATCATGCTTAAAACTTGTGCTTATTACTTGGATATCTAGCAACGGGAGTTGTGGATATCCACTTTTGAGTGTCTCGGAAGGGAACCGTGTCGAGTTGAGCACTAATGAGTGATTTCGTGCTAGAGTATAGGTTGGGATTTAGTGAAAGCATGTTATGTCTCCCCCGCTTTTCGATATCTGTTTAATCCCCATTTTCACTATTCTGTGTTGTAACTTCTTCCTGTTGTCAACATTTTAAAGTGTATTCGCTGTTGAGATCGTTTATTGCTTTGTTATGATGTTGTTCTTTATTTTCAACACAATCAACTATATTTTATTATTTTTGTACTTTTGGTATCTTCAAGCACAGTTTAGAATATTTTCCTAAGTCCTTGTGGATTCGACCTCGTTTCGTACTGCAATTGTGTGTATACTTGCACGTGTATCCAGCACGGTTGTGTGGACGCAACAAGGGGCGACCTTAATACGGCTGAAGGTCTCACCTACCTTCGATCTTATGCACCCGACACCCCAACCTTCAAGACGACACGAGTAACTGTCGATCGAGAACTCCGTCAGATTTGTAATCTATAAAATGGAGGGCCTTACTTTCACATCAGGTGGCTTCTAGCTCGGTCTTAATATCTTGGTTGAACTTAAACTTGCTTAAGCATCAGAGTGTTTGCTTCTCTTGTGTTACATCCCCCATGTTTCCGGTCTCTTTGAATGGTGCGCTTGAGGGGTACTTTCCAGAGCGTCGCGGGTTGCGTCATTTCCAGCACTATCGCTTGAGGGGTACTTTCCCTGTATCTTTTTGTTATAGCCATAGTGGTTTTGTCACAGATACTGAATAGGTTGTCGGGAGGATTTCGGTTTCATCCAAAGTGTAATCTAGTTGGTCTGACACACTTGTGTTTTTGCAGATGACTTGATGATTTTCTCGCACGTGGATCTGGGTTCTTTATCCTTTATTAAGGATGTTTTAGCCTCTTTTGGAGAGTTTGTGGGTCATGTTGCGAATACTTGGAAGAGCTCATTTTTCGGGATGGGTATTCTTGATGTTGAGGCCAAGCGGTTGGTGGCTTTCTTTGGCTTTTTAGTGGGGTCACTTCTTGTGCTTTACCACGGGGTTCCACTTCTTTCCCGTCGACTTTCTCATCGCAATTGTCAGCCTTTGCTTGAGCGAATTGTCTCTCATGTTAATTGTTAGTCAGCTCAGGTGCTTTCTTTTGCTGGCTGGTTGCAGCTTATTCGATCGATTTTTCAGAGTTTTCAAGTCTATTAGGCCAATGTGTTTATCC